TCACCGCTTGTCGCCTTATGAGTGGAGCCCGTTGCACGGAAGTTGCAGGGGCGCAAAATCACACAATAAGTACCCGCATCCGATTGGAATCACTTTTAACGCGACCGACATGACGGTACTAGTTTCAGGAGAGACAACGAGCTGACGGGACGAAGAAAAATCGATATCGAATGCGACAAAGCGACAAAGTCTCGTCACTCACAGATCCTTTTGATATGCGATTTCATGCGGTGGGCATCACAAATACAATTTTCGAATAGCGGCAATCTCCATCGCTAGCGCATTTACCACGGGAACAGTCAGTTTATTTCAATCAAATATAATTCATGATCGCTTATACGTGAACCAGACGAAGTTTTTCTCCTGCGCGGAAACGTTTAGCTGCCTCCTCATTATCATAAGGTTTACTCGCCTCTGATATGGCAAATTATTCTACCGCACATATCATCTATGAGTTACAAACCAATATACGCATGAAGAAATTCACAGGAGAAAAATGGAAATTAACATAATTACGTAATAACATATTATGCATTATGTGCATGTCGTAAAAGTCGAAAAGAAGTACCCGCCGATAGTACTGAACCCAAACTTTTCTTGCCTGAAGGAATATCAGTGCAGAAAATCATCCAACAGAATTTACTTCGTTATTGATACGATTTTTGCTTATCGGCAGTCTCCTAGGCAGTGCGTCTTGATTAACTTCCAAGATTTTCCCTACTTTGTTGAATAATCACCGAAACATACGCTTTGTTTTTGAAACTACCTCGACAGGGTCGTATTTCGCCGTTGGCCAATGGAATAATCGCTGATGGCCGTTCCATTCGCTTATTTTCAATGATCGCCAATCCATTCAGGTAGAGAAAGCAGCTGTTTCAGGAGATCTTCAAAGAAGATCCATTCCTCTACCAATCCATTAAGCTCCATGGACTGAACAACAGTGAACAACTGCACATCATCGAGCCCCCTGGTAAGTGACGGTCTGCTCCTGGGTCATCTTCCATGTGGCTTTCTAAGAGATTTTGTCTTGCCAGTGTATCTAGAGGCATCCTGATCGCACGTCTCAAGTCGTTCCGATTGCTCTCTCTCTCTCGATTTAGGTAAAGGGCGATTTACGACCGAGCGTGATGTCATGAATTGGCGTCTTTTCAGTGTCGTCGGCCTCGTCATCACTAGTCCATCGAAAAAATCTCATTTTCGCTGTTTGTACCTGGAATTGCAATCTTTCGGTTCACAGTCAACATCTTGAGCATAATGAGGGGCAGGCGCCCAGGCAGAGTTGAAGAGAAGGTGATAATTTCTCATTATTATTCAAACAGTCACTCATCAGCACAGATTCGCATTACTGCGCGCTCCTGGTCCGTTCGTGTGTCTATTTGCACACAAAAACATACACACAGATTTGTGAACGCTATCCTGAAGTGCTTCAACTCCTGTGCCTGCTCCACTCTCACTCCGTTACTTGTAAAGCACTCACTGAATAGCCTTCCCAATTAAATGCACGTTGGAAGTCATCCAGGCAGAAGCTGAACATGACCAGATCGTCCTTAAAAACAACAGGAGACTGAGTCGAATTCGCTCAGTTGCGACATTCTTGTGTCCGTTTGCATCTGCTTACCCCCAGTCAAGGAAAACTGTGAACAGAGAGGAAACAACTCTCTACACTCTTACACTTCTAGCGAAGATCAGCACGCCAAAGAATGGCGTCATTTTTACATTTATCCAGCACAGCCCCCTGAACAGTCGTTCGAGGATCTGATGATTCCCTCTGCTGGCTATGCTTTTGCTCTTGCTTGTTCTGAATCTTTATTTATACCATTTCTCGGCATCTCCTTGCATCTCCTTAGTTTATGATTTAAAAATCTTCTGAGCGCTTATGACCATCCTGAGTAGAAAGCTACCAGTGCTATGGAACTGAAACAGGAAAGCTTTGACAGACTCTCGAATTTGCATGCATTACCTAAACTCTCAATCCTCATTATTTTGCCAAGGACAATTTCGTTGATATGACACTTCTACCATTGCAGAGTGAGTGGAATCGCAGGAAAATGAAATGCATTGAATCTAGTATCGTAAGAGTCTGAGACGAGAACTAGAAAATAATAAATTTTATATGCAGAATAATCCCATAAAGTACTTGTCGAGCGTTGAACTAAATTCCATCATAAAAGAATTCACCTCGGCGTTTGAAGTTAATCGATGTGTTGGTAAATTAAGAGTCTTATTGAATTTTCATCAAAGCCTGTCTATATCTTTGCGAAATACATTGATTTAAATGCTATTCGTCCTTGCCGCTATATTGAATCTCAATTTTCCAACAAATGAACCAGTTAATTATGGCGGCTTTGATTGATTGATATTAGTTGATGATCCGATGAAGTGCATCAGCTTTCGGCACCGATGATGACGCGAACATGAAACAGATATGTAAGAATTACGACATCAAGATAGAGATAGGCTATATTAGTCTGGCATGAGAAAAAGTGACTCTGCATTGCACATAAAGGTGCTGAAAAATTCTATTGCCACATCGTTGCAAGATTTTAGCGGCTTAAAGACGCTATTGATGACAATTAGCATAAGATGATGCACTTCTAAGCTCAAGCTAGCCTTAATGAGGCTGATAAAAATTATATAGAGATTGTTTCAGCTTCCCATAACAGTGAACCTACAAATGAAAACCCTACTGAGCTACCGGAAATAAGGCCAAAGACTAAGACGAAACGTTTTACGTTTTCGATACTAAGATACTAGCTTCAGTGTTCAGATCTTAATGACCTCAACATGGAGAGAAACCCTGTTTTCAAAAGAGGAACGAATAATATACTCGCTGATTACCATGAATATTATAGGGCAGAGACAGCTGTTGAGCAGACAATGCTCGTATCTTCTTCTTCTTCTTTTTCTTCTTCTTCTTCTTCTTGAAAATCAGCTAAATCTCAGTCATCCAATTTTACGTCTGACGCTGAACTTACCAGAAAAGAAAAAGAAATTTTGGGGGCTGTTCGAACGGAATATCGGTTTCCATTGCACTTGCTTCCCAGGCGTCATTTGTAGAACTCTTCTTTTCATGGAGCTCAGGGTGCGCCGCAAACCTCCGCTTTCATACGATCAGCCACGGTGTCATTTTATTTTTTTTCTATTTCTACGTCTAGTTTAGTCTCGTGTTGTTTTTCTCACGAAGTGCTATTCATTTATAATCATTGCAACGAGGAAAGACGAGTAACTCAGCAGGTCTCGAACCCCGGGGTCTCTCGGTTATGAGTCCAACTTCTGCTGAAATGCAACACCGTCCTTTAATCTTCTGAAATAGACGCGAATGCAAAGGTTTAATCATATTGAAATTCTATTAATGGTCACATCTACCTCAGCATCGACATCTATCACTACCGTCATTTTTACCATTTTGCAAAGAAATTTAAGAATTTATTCTTATGATATGTAATAAAGGTTTTCTGTATTATACTGATATTAATAATAGTGATGGCATGTCTCTCTAAACCCAACGTTTATGCATTTTCAATGCAATTTCAATCAAGTAATTATCGTTTATGCATAGGTAAAGGAGAAAGAATGTCATTTAAATACAGTAATTGACTATTTGTGTTATTATTTATACCCAGTTACATTTCTGTGTTGTATTGAGACAAGGGTTGTATGTTTGGGGAAAACTTTCACACCTCTGGAACCAAGAAAAATTTGCAACATGAGAATTTATGAGAGTTCAACTTTTATTTTAGGGCTTTCGTGTCATGAGTAGTTTACGGGATGAATTACTTTCAAAATTAACGGCTACCGTATTTGTAATCATTTAACATGTGACGCATACGGTGGCACATGCCGTACGCTTGTGAATCAAACAGCTCTTCTGAGGGGGAACGTTCGAGATCATTTATGTGCATTCAAAAATTTAGCCTGACTTTCAGCAGTGCATAATTTCAAGAAATACCACAGTGAACCGCAGAAGAAATAGAGGAGCGAACAGGAAATAGGAATGTCATCCATTTTTATTCTCGTGAAAGAAAATCGTCATGAATGCTGAAATTTTTTATGGAAAAATAAAGCTAACTGAGTTGGAGAAAATGTGACAAACAATGAGCAAAAGACCAACAATGATGTGGAATGAAAGGCGAACCATGAATGCTGTATCAATGCAGATTTTATATGCGAGCAGCGAAGAGCTCGAAGAAAGACCCACAAAATTGGATCCAACAAATAGATTCATGAAATAAAAGGATTTCAGGAAAGAAGACAAAGAATACGACCAAATGAGGTAACGGTCGAAAAACGATGATGTGGACACGCGATTTCACAATGTGCATTAGTTGATGATGGAC